TTATAACTTTAAATCAATCATATTTAACTCATGATTATAACTTTAAACCATCATATTTTAACTCATGATTATAACTTTAAACCATCATATTTTAACTCATGATTATAACTTTAAACCATCATATTTTAACTCATGATTATAACTTTAAATCAATCATATTTTAACTCATGATTATAACTTTAAACCATCATATTTTAACTCATGATTATAACTTTAAACCATCATATTTTAACTCATGATTATAACTTTAAACCATCATATTTTAACTCATGATTATAACTTTAAATCAATCATATTTTAACTCATGATTATAACTTTAAACCATCATATTTTAACTCATGATTATAACTTTAAACCATCATATTTTAACTCGTGATTATAACTTTAAATCATTCATATTTTAACTCGTGATTATAACTTTAAATCATTCATATTTTAACTCATGATTATAACTTTAAATCATTCATATTTTAACTCATGATTAACACTTTAAACCATCATATTTTAACTCATTAGACCATTACAAGTGGCACTAATGTGCTTCCATACCGCAGCCAGCTGAGATCAAAGGAAGCCGCCGCACGTGCGCTTCAACCACCGCCATGCTAATGTTAGCACGTTAGCTCGAGGCTTCACTCCGAGCTTCAGCGGGCGGCACCACAGACCACTGACCGTGTTCGGTGCCGCAGGTTCGGTTGTGAGGCGGTGAGCTGCCCCCCCCCCCCTCCCCCACACGGTGTTGACCCTGAACGCCACGTTTCTGAGGAGGCTTCAGCTCCGCCGCCATTACGGAAACACCTGCAGCCTCTCACCAACACACACCAAAGTTACTATAAAATAAAGTTACAAAAGAAAAAGACTGCGCAAATATTTTATTTTACTTCGAACTACAAAACTACAGAGCACGAGGAAGAAAGCGCGTTGTATTTTATCCACGCATCATGTGCGCAGGCTAGCTAAGCTAAACTTAGCGACATCAAAATGCAACTAAAATATGTTTTATTACGTCAGTATGAGTGCATAGAGCTTGCGAAGAGATTATAATTATATTGTCTTAACAAAAAACATAATAATTATATTGTCTTTGAAAAAGAGAAAGCGCAGGTGAAAAAATTAATTGGAAAACTGCGGTGAGCTTCATAAAATTAGCAGGAAAAGTTCGTTACAACCGTGAACTGCTTGTTTAAACGTGTTCAAACGCCACTACCTGCCGGTGTGAAGCCTAAAGATGAGCGCGTCAGCAGCAGATGTCCAGCAGGTCTGAAGCTCCCAGGTCCAACAGGTCTGAAGCTCCCAGGTCCAGCAGGTCTGAAGCTCCCAGGTCCAGCAGGTCTGAAGATCTGACTGAGGAGCTGCAGAGCACCTCTGGGTTGCCAGGTCTGTCGCTAACTCGCCTCATCGCACTCTGGTAAATCTAACTCTTAATATGATCAGCCAACATCTGCCATCATAATGTTTTTACGTTGATTTACGTGTTTTTCATTGTTCCATGCAGCGTGGAGGACAGCTGTCTAATTTTCTCCCATAAATCCAGAGATTTTACAGTTGCAGTAAAAATGTCGGCGCTGTAAAACCTGGCAACACCCATTGAATAAATGCTGAGTCAGCCTCCACGTTTCTTCTTTCCGGTTTATTTCTGTGTTTTGAGAAATTTAACTATTTATTTTTATAAAAACGTTTGTAAGCTCGATCATCCAGGTAGATAAATGTAAAAACAGATGAAACCAGGTTAGTTTCTTTATGTGAGAACGTTTTATCTTCTGAAAGACCTGATGAGCGTGAGGCCTGCCAACCCACATCAGTCTTATAAATAGCACCTCCTGGATGTTTGAGGCAGCCAGCGGAGGACTTCACACTAACTGACTTTACACATGCGACAAAAATCCTCCATCATCAGCATAACAAACAGCTACTCGCTGCTTCTGACGAGTGTAACGCGTTCATTTGTCTTTTTGTAACTTCTTAATGACTGTCCTCATCGAGACACATCATGAATCTACAACTCCCTCCAAACCCTGTCCACTTGGAAATCTTCAGCAAACCTGTTCTGTTTTTAGCTACTTTTCATTCATGGCCTCCAATTAGACCATTTTAGCTTCTAGTTAGCCTTTTAATACGTTCAGGTTTTAGATAGCATTTTGCTACTTTTTATCATTAAGATAGCTTTTTATTAGTTTTCACTTTTCCCTAACCTTTTCATGTTTTTATCTTTTAACTAACTTTTTTGGCATTTTTAAGTTTTAGCTATCCTTTTTGTATTGTGGCATTTAATTAGCCTTCTGCTGTTTTTAGCTTTAAGTGTTTTTCAGATTTTAGCAACTACGTCCTTTTGGTTTCATACTGTTTTAATCATTTTAGCTTTAGCTAAGCTTTAGCTACTTTTACCTCTGAAGCAGTATACTTGTTCTGCTTCTTTAGCTACTGTTTAGCTCCTTTTAACTTTATAAACTATTTCACCTTCTTCAGTTTATTCAGCATTCCACAGAAAATGTAATTTCTCTTGTTTTTACTTCATTAAAGGCAAACAAACACTGTTTTATAAAATATAAAAACTTTAAGAAGACAATAACTAGTTGTGAAAAACCTTTCTGAAACTTTTGATGTCTTAAGGAAAGTTGGCGATGGCAGCCATCTTGAATTGAACTGTCTCAAAAAGGAAATTAAATGTACAGTCGATGAATACGGATGGATGGATGGATGGATGGATGGATGGATGGATGGATGGATGGATGGATGGATGGATGGATAGATAGATAGATAGATAGATAGATAGATAGATAGATAGATAGACAGACAGACAGACAGACAGACAGACAGACAGACAGACAGACAGACAGACAGACAGACAGACAGACAGACAGACAGACAGATAGATAGATAGATAGATAGATTCATTCTAAGGTGAATACAGTGTGCAGTGGTGGGTACGGTAGTTACAGCCAGTTATGAATCTTAGTGCACCATGATAGACAGCATCCAACATCTGCAGCATCCAACATCTGCAGCATCCAACATCTGCAGGGTTCTTGTAGGAGCGTTCATGTAAATAATATCACCGTAATCAATGGAGGGAAGGAAAGTCACAGATACAAGGTGTTTCCTAACATTCAGAGTTAGACAGGATCTGTTTCTGAAAAAGAAACCCAGTTTAACTTTCAGTTTCTTTACCAAGTTTTCCACATGGAGCTTAAAAGAGAGATGTGAGTCGACCAAGATACCCAAATATTTATAGGAATCAACAAACTCAATGGGGACACCATTTGAGGATAGAATCGGAGGAAGAACTGCTGGGACCAACTTCCTGTTTGAAAAAAGCATCCCTTTGGTTTTTTCGGCATTTAGGACAAGTTTGAGGCGGAACAAATCAGTCTGGATGATGTTGAATGCAGATTTCAAAAGCTGGAAAGCCTTAGCAACAGTTTTAGCTCGACAATAAACAACTGTGTCATCAGCATAGAAATGTATGGATGCATTAGGGATGTTTTTACCTACATTATGTATGTAGATTGTAAAGAGGGTGGGTCCTAAGACTGAGCCTTGTGGTACACCATTGTTGACTGTTAAATAACTGGAGGAAGTACCATTATGTTGAACACATTGCCTCCGGTCTGAAAGATAGTTAGAGAACCAACCAATGGTGTGATCTGAAAAACCAGTTCTGAGAGTTTATGACACAAGATGTTCTGATCCACAGTGTCAGAATCTTTAGACAGGTCTAAGAAAAGTGCAGCACAATAATCTTTAGCATCCAGTGCTTCAACAACGTCATTAAGAACCTTCAGTGAAGCAGTGGTTGTGCTGTGTTGTTTCCTGAAACCAGATTGATGTGGAGGTAAGATGTTAAATGAGTCCAGGTCATTTTTGATTTGAGAGTTTATCAGTTTTTCTAGAACCTTGGCTAAAATGCAGAGTTTAGAGATTGGTCCATAGTTGTTCAGTGAGGGGGGGTCACCTCCCTTCAGCAAAGAAGAACAAAGGCTGTTTTCAAGTGTCTGGATGGAGTTTTGTCTTATGGAGAGATTGAAGATGTGGGTCACAGGGACTGTGATGATATGAGCAGCCAGCCTTAAGAAATAAGGTGGAAGTTCATCTGGACCTGCAGATTTTTTAGGATCAAGATCTTTTAACAGTTTATTGACCTCACTGACTGAGAATGGAGAAAAAGAGAAGCTGTGATTAACTGAGGATTGACTTGTAGGAGGGATTTGATTTGTAGAAGTTTGGTTATTAAGTGAAGTGGCTGATCTTCCATTAGTTACTGTGTCAAATAAAGAACTAGAAGCAACAAAATGTTTGTTGAAACAGTTCAGGATCTCGTGCTTATTTGACACAGGAACAGAGTTAATGAGAAGTTGTGATGGGAGGTCAGATGATTGGGGGGTGCCTGAGAGAGATTTGATGGTTTTCCAGAATCTGTTAGGGTCATTTAGATTTTTGGAGGTCTGAGATAAGAAATAGTTTTGTTTTGCTGCTTTGACAGCAGTTGTACATTTATTCCTCATCTGTCGAAAACTCAACCAATCAGTGTCTGAGTCAGATTTTCTCGCTGCCGCCCAAAGATGATCTCTCCTGTGCAGGAGGTCAGCTAGCTCTGGAGTAAACCAGGGGCTGTCTCGTCCCTTTATTCTGAACTGACGAAAAGGAGCATGTAAGTTCAGGAAATAAATGAAATTATTATGGAAATAGTTCCAAGCGGAGTTCACGTCATCAGTTAACAGAATACGATGCCAGTCAAAGTGAGACAGATCCCAGAGGAATGACTGTTCACAGAAATGTTTCAGATCCCTTTTTTGAATTAATCTGGGCTTAGAAGGTGGAAGTTTACTATTTCTTAAAGCAGCTGTCACACAATGATCACTCAGAAGATCAGCGAATACACCTGTACCAGGGAATTTGTGAGGCATATTAGTTAGAAACAGGTCTAAGATGGAGGATTTTTCAGGACGGTTTTTGTTTAATCTAGTGGGAGAGTTGATCAATTGGGTAAGATTGAGAGACAGGCAACATTCCTTGAATTTATCACAGAGGGGGGTCGACTTACACCAATCAGTATTGAAGTCTCCTGCCAAAAAGATCTCTTTGAATTTTAAATTTCCAAGGAATTCCATCATGGCAGTTAATGACTCAGGTGATGCTGAGGGGGGGCGGTAGCAGCAGACTACAGTTAAAATCTGGCCTCCATTCAAGGTGATGTCTACAGATAAGGCATCAGTTTGGTTTGGAATTGTTTTAGAGTCAGAGTCAGAGTCAGAGTTTCTTTATTGTCATTCGCACCTCATGTGGTACATGTGGTGGAGCGAAATTATGTACACAGGGTCCCAGTTACATCCAACAATAAAATGTCTAAGAAAAACAGTAATAAGATCTAAGATATGAACTAAGAAAAACATCAACTAAATATACACTAAGCACTCATAACATAAAACATTGAACATCAGCACAAACATGAACATGAGTCTGTGAGCAGATGTGCACGCATGAACACATCAACATTGAAACAGATCAGCAGCAACATGAAACAGATCAGCA